GAGGAGAAGTGAAAATGATACTTATCTGTGGATAGAAAGATAAATATTTAGAATACAATTAAAATTCATTCGAACTTAGGAAAATGGCAAAACTAGGTTCTCCTCTAGGACCTATGACCTCTCTCCATTCATGGGTAGTTGGCTAGGTGTTTAGTACCAGGCATGAATTCTCTCCTGTTGAGCAGGCCTTCAGTCTAATTAGACAGCTGTTTATTATCCCCAAACTAAAACTGCCACTATTATACCTAGTCTTGCCAGGCTGCCATTGTTGTGGTTCATAGACTTTACAGCTGGGTGTGACTACTGAGTGCTTTTGTCCTTGGCAGCTTGTGTAGCACTTTCTTATACTATGAGATCTAGTTCTTAGGAGGAAGCTTCTAGGTCAGTTCCACCTCAGTACCCCTGTGTCCTGTGTCCAAATCATGTGATATCTTCAAAATCTGGGAGATAACCAAGGACAATGGCAATAGCCTGTGTTATTTGGAGATTCTTTTGGACTTCTGTGACCAACAACTCAAAGGGAGATGTTTCATGCCTGACATGGGCATCATTGTTAGTGTTGGTCTGTGGGGGAGCATTATCACCCTGTGAGGCTTAATCTGTTTATATACTCTGTCTCTCTGTCTAATGTTCTATGTGTATCAATCTATCTGTGAATAACTAAATTTTTAAAAAGTCTTAACAAGTAGGTTAAATATCTTCCAACAGTATATTTTACAGAAATTCTAGAAAAATAATAAATATTGGAAGTCATTTTGCCATACATTCTTTGTAATTTTAATTTTAAAAAATGTGAGAATTAAAGTTGACAATGTCTTGTGACTCTAGCTATAATGAACTGCAGCTTTTGAGACTATTCTCACAGGGTTAATGTAAATATTCAAAATCAATTCATTTCAAAAGAATTACAGGAAAACCCAGTGTTTAAAAAATCCTAGACTCAATCAAGTAGGTGTTCAACCTCAGATAGTTTCATGACTTACTTTTGTTTTTACCTGTTACTAAAAGAATTTGGATTCTGTGTTTATTCAAGAATGAGAATTGAATATTTAAAATTCTCTGGCTTTTAAGAGTACAAGTGAACAGACAGCAAAACCCCAAATTAGTGTGTGTGTGTGTGTATGTGTGTGTGTGTGTGTGTGTGTGTGTGTGTTTGAGCAAAAATACATTGTTTTTATTGTTCTTCTAGTTTGTTTCAGTTTTTTTGTTTTGGTTGTTGTTTTGTTTTTTGAGAAAGGGTTTCTCTGTGTAGCCCTGGCTGTCCTGGAACTCTCTCTGTAGACCATGCTGGTCTGCAATTTACAGAGCTCCACCTGCCTCTGCCTCCTGAGTGCTAGGATTAAAGATGTATGCTACCACACCTGACTGGTGTTTGTTCAATTAAATTGAATACATTTTCCTACCTTGTTCTTGTGTGGTTGTGATAGACATATCCCATACAAAATGGTCATTAAAAGAAAAGAAAGTAGAAAAGAAGGTGTAGGATATATACATAACCCTCTATACCCATGTTGGCTATGCTTAGTTAAACTACAAGTTGGCCATTCTCATGAATCAATTTCCTCTTGGTGTTTCTATGCGCCATTCACCAAGCAATAACACCATCAGTAGTTAATGATCCCCCGAAAGAAGCAGTTTCATTACACAGGACTGACAGTTGAGAGCCGCTGAAGACTGTCCTGTCTCTGAGTAGTTTATTACTAACTTTAGTGTTGGATAGTCATTCTGTTTGTGTAGCTGTGATTACTATATAGCTCTGGTAAAATCTGAACCCCTGTGTCATCACACGCCTTGAAGTGTGTGAGCATCGCTGTCTTCAGGTGCAGCATCTGAAAAGCAAAGTTAATGGTATCAAGCCATTAAACTGAACTGTCTTTAAGGGTAAGAAAGGTTTAATGCTACCCTTAAGTGTAACTTAACACTCACTAAATATTTTTAACAGCAATAAAAGCATGTTAATTGTAGACATAACTTCTTTATAAGGCCTCGTTTTTTTTAAGTAGATTTTTTTTCTGAGAATATAAAAGCTTACTGAAACAATGTCTATTAGTAACTCATTCCATAAAGCACTGAATTTTTCCTTTGCTTTTAAATCAGTGAGAAAAAAAAATCCAAAATAGCACATGAAGTTTTTTGTTTTGAGTATATGTGTGAACTAAATCGAACGTAGAGTAAAGTGATTATTGACAAATTCCTTGTTAGTTTCATGCCATTGCTTTAATCATATTCTTTAAAAGTTAAGAATTTGCCCCTATTAAAAAAAGAAAATAGGAATTATACTTCAGTGTTGTTACATGTACATATTATTAGGTCTTATATAAATTAACATTCTGAGCCAGCAAAATGGTACAACAGACAAAAGCACTTCGTGCACAAACCTAATGAACTGATTCTATCCCTGGGTTCCCAGGCAAAGGAAGAGAGTTGATCCCTGAAAGCTTCCCTCTGCTCTCACCAAGGGTGGTAGGACATGCACACACCCACACACATGCACACACCCACACACATGCACATGGTGATAGATACATGAACTAATGAGTTAATAACAAGTAGTATACTACATACCTAGCAGTAACCTGTCTTTCTTACATATTTTTAAATTTTCTTCCACTTCCTGAACTGTGTTTGTGCAAGTATTACTAAGATCAGTGTTTCTGACTAAGCTAGACCTTTACTTTTTAGTAATGACTTGACAGTGCATTTAACAATATCCTGGTACACATCACAGAGAGCACTGAAGTCTCTATGAACTTGGCAAAGGCCTTTTCAAGTCTCCCCGCTCCCTTTCCCACTCCTCACCCCTATCCAAGCCTCCCCTACCCAGTGTGTGTATTTGCTCCTCGCTCTGGGATTAAGGAGCAGTGATTTTGGCAAGGTGAAACTTGAATGAAGCAATGTGAAAAGTCTGTAAAATAGCACCTCACTGACTTCACATTAAACAGGAAAGTGCTGAAGATGTGTGCTCTGCATAGCTTCCGAAGATGTTGCACATGTGGACAGTTGGAGACTGAGCACTGTCCTGGTCCCTGAGAAGAATGAGGAGTGGCATGTGTCCCTTCTGCAGTGCCTCAGGAGACGCAGCTGAACTAGTGCAGCCCGCCTTCACCAGCAGCTTAAGTCTTGTCATAGGCATAGATAAATTCTTTCTTTAAAACAACCTGCTCTTGTTGGAAACACTGCGATGAAATTGACATAAGAATTTGAGCTGTAAGGAATGCTAAGGAAAATAATTTGAAATTTTCTTCCATGTCCTGGATTAATATTCATTCATTTTTTTCATTGATCAAATTTTTTTTCTCTAGTTATGTCAGTTAAATATCTCTTCAAGGAAGCAATTCTGAATTTGTCAGTCATTTAAAATTCTCGGCACTGGTGCTTTTTGCTGTACTCTAGTTCCCCCAACACTCTTGCAAGACTAGTTATTTCTTCATAACTTGGAAGAATACCATTTAATTTAGTCATATTTTGTTCTTTATGGAGTGGTATATATTAGCCTCAGTGATTTGTGAGAATTAGAAGTGCACAGCAGTTTTTTCTTACACTACGAAGTTGAAAGATATATACATTCTGTGTTAGCCACTCTATTGTAGCAGTACACTAAGATCTGAAAGATAGATTAAACGTTGTTGAAATTATTATAACATTTAAAAAATATTTACCTATGTAATTTTTTATGAAAAAATGAATAATGGCTATAGTAGAAAACACAGTCTAGAAAAAATACTCTTGATTAATTTGATAATATGAATATGAATGAATGGGTTTGATCACATGATTTCTAATAACTGTGATGCTATATACACGTGGTTAGAGAGTATTCTGACACAGCTGTGCCTTAAATACAATACTGCTGAAGCAAGTATCCTCACATTAACCTCCAGATGGTTGTATTTGGTTTCATATTTTGCAAAAAAGTAAGATACTTTGCTTATCGTGTGTGTGTGTGTGTGTGTGTGTGTGTGTGTGTACGTGAAATTAATTTTTAAAGAATTTCTTTTTATATTATTTGCTAGTACTGGAAATTAAAATTTTTAGATTCTCTGCAATATGCCAGAATTATATAGAATTCTTGCTGAAGTGTGCTTGGGTAAGACTGTAAAAGAATTGTACCCCTATTGCATAAAATTAGAAATCAATGTATCAAAATATATCAAACCAAATGCTAATTTTCTTGTACACTTTACATATCAGTTGCCTAATTAGGCCTTCTGGAGTCTAAAGTCTCAAGTCTCACTCTTTATGTCATACAGTCATATCCAAGGATGTTTAGTGCCCTTGCTGTTTATTGACTTCTGCGCTGTATTCACTTACGTGGGCAAGAAATCAACGTGAGAAGCAGTCCCTGAAAAACAGTTTAACTGATTAGTGATACCTATTTTTAGCCAAAAGAGAATTATTAATATTTTTTTCATTTTCAATAACTGTGTACACTTGACCCTTCCAAAATATACAAGAGTAATGATTTTTTCCTAACAAAGTTTTAAAATGAGTATTTTAAATAATTAAATGTAAGAATATAAATTTCTAAGTTTGACAATTGTGATTTGTTAGAGAAAACATTTGTAAAAAGCTAATAAGTTCACAAAAATCAATAGAGAAACTGAAATTTTGGGAATGGTATTTTCAACAATGAACAACCTTAAAGGCACCACAGCTGCTGCACGGACTCCACATTTGTCCTGTCTTTCCTTGCTAAATAGTTGTGCTGTCTGTTTCATAGGAAACTTGTCTGTCCTTCCCAACTCTCATTCGTGTGTTTTACACACAGAAGAAGAATGTGTAACACTGTGGTCTAGTATAGAACTTTAAAAACTTAAAACTTATATTTTACAGTATTTTGTTTTGCTATGTAATGCTTTCTTAAAATTTAAATTATGCTATATTTTCAGTAAATAGTATTTTCTGACTGTGCTCTATTAATAAATTGTAACTCTTTCATTTTCATGAGGAAAGGATCCTTTGAGAAGCCTCGTTTTCTCATTTGTCTGGTCTCTGTACAGGCGATGGGTGCGGCTGCTGTTTGGGAGAGAGTTTCCACTGCAGGATCTGCTGGTGGTCTGGGATGCGTTGTTTGCCGACGGCCTCAGCCTGAGTTTAGTGGATTATGTCTTCATAGCCATGCTCCTCTATATCCGAGATGCTTGTAAGTACTTGTGACTTAGCCCATATCTGACCAGGTAGCCATGACTTTTCAAAATTGTTTTGCCTTTTAAATGTATTTTATATTTATTGTTGGATATACACATATCTAAGTGTTTAATAACAAGAAATATTTTGACATGTTACAGGAAATCACTAAATGCCTTTTCTTCTAGTGAACCTTGTATTAGGTGATATGGGTGATGTCATCCTCAAAGAAGTAGAATATTCTTTAGAAGGATTTTTCCAAACACTTCATGGCCGTTTCAATCCCCTTAGTATATACTTTTGTGGACTGCATTGAAACCAGCATTTCAGATATGTTTAGAGCTCCACCTTCTGACGTGTAGCAGATATTCAAGTATATTTATTGGGAGGTTGGAGCTGTTTTTATAATGCCAATCTTGCCAATGGGAAAATAAATCTGGACTATTTTTGACTCCAGATTTTTTGTTATATTTTAACAAATTTTATTCCTTACTATAGAACTCAATGATTGATGTGTTCCTACCTCCTCAGAACCATCCTAGGGTGCTTTACCATGGCCAGAAAGCCAGGGCCTCAGCTTGTAGGACATATCAGAGTGTGTTTTAGATTTCATAATACTTTAAATAATTTTTCTTCTCAGTTTCCAAAGCAATATTTGTAAGCCAAAATATAATTAGGAAAGATTGCACTAAGTATTGTGATTGAATTAGGAAATAGAAAACGATTGTAAATGTAGGAATAAGTGACCACATTTTCTCCAAAAAACTGTGAAGATTTTTTTTTTTTTTTAATGCTTGGAAGGTCAAATAGTATAAGCTTCTTGAGAGACAAAGTATAAAGTTCCTTCTTGTGGAGACAGAACTAATGATAGAAGAATATGGAATATGGAAAGCATTGGATGAAACATCTAAACAGTAAAGCAGAATTTTTGAGTAGATATGATAGATACTGAATTTTTGGACATCCAATACTTACCTCCCTTTTAAAGCTGTATGTATTCTACGTTTGCAAAAGAAAAAAAAGGAAGAAAAGAGAATGAAAAAATTCTCTTAGGAAAAAGAAAAATTCTTTTGGATAATATTTTCACAAAACTTTCCAAATCAGACTATTAAAATATGTTCTAATTTTCTGAAATTTTAAACAATTAACAATGACTCTTTTCATAATTTTGTCATATCACCTACATGTATTAAAGTAATCATCATGTCTCTTATAGTAAGATCTATTCTTATTTTCATAAAGCATGGCAACTTTTGACAGCTGAAGCCCTTTCATATTTCTGTTGATTCTGTAAAGCATGGGTACACGTGGGAAAGTACCAAAGTAATGGCATTGTTTATTCCCTTCAGTATTAAGTCTATAACAGTGGATGGTACCTCCTGAAGGTAGAGTGGGTCAGTATTCAGGGTTCAAGGTGCCCTTGTTCTAAAGGAGCTTGCCAGAGATAGACGTTTCTTCAAGTTACATGGCATCACTAGATTACAATTCTCATGAGGAAATAAGGTCATAAGACTAAAAAGGAAACAGGAGGGGTCTTGATGATCATCTCTGAGCAATAAGTCACGGGGCTCTTGACACATTCAAAGCAGCATAGTAGTCACAGTGTGGACGAAACTGAGTACGACAAGACCAGAGCTGGGAGGTCAGGTCAAAGTCATGACAGCATTCCCGAAGGCAGACGGTGAGATGGAGAATAGTCAGAGCTAAGCATAGCTCAAATACGAAAGCTAGCGGGAATAGGCAATCCAAAGAATGACTAGATAATTGACTAGGAAATAAAACCGCTAGGAATTTAAGTGTGATTTAAGCTTTGACCATACTGAGTTTCAGATTCTTGTGAGAAACCATAACCGGAAGACATAAAATATTACCGTCATTGTTAGTATCAAGGATGTGTAGAGTTGCAAATAATCAACAGGTTTTTTTATGTCAAACCATAACAATGGATATAGCCTCTTAAGAATAAGGTCATCATAGTATCCTAGTTTGTTTATGGTAGTCTTGGTTTACAAATCTGTTCCAAAGCAGCAATTATTAATATTCTGTCTTTTCATATGAAATACTTCCCATGAGGATATTAAGAATCACACAGCCATGCTACCTAAGTTGGCCATATACAGCAAGAGAATGTGGGCAAATGTGGAACTCTGCACATAATATTGGTGTTTAAGAGAAACTGGGAATGGAGGATGGAGCCCCATTTAAGAGCACTCAACTAGTACACATGAGACCCTAGTTTTAATCTGTAAGAGTGGGGACTAGAAGAAGGGCTTATATTACAGCCTCAAAGAACTATTGCTGGTTTTCAGTTTCTAAGCACGCGCATTCCTATATAAGTACAACACATGTATAAAAATCCACAGATAGGATCTACATATGAGAAAGAACATACGGTATTTGACTTTTTTAGCCTGGGTTACCTAACTTAATATAATATTCTCCAGTTCCATCCAGTTTACTGAAAATTTCATAATTTCAATATTCTTTGTGGCTCAATAAAAACTCCTCTGTGTATGTACCCCATTTTCATTGTCCACTCATCTGTTGATGGACATTAGGTGGATTCCATTTTCTTGCTATTGTGATTAGAACAGAAGTATTATCATTTTTATTGCATTATTTTTCAACCAAAAAGATGACCTAATAAAGAACAAAGATATGGCATGTATCTAGACATCTTTCAAGAACAAAAGAACAGAAGAGAAAGATACAGGAGCACTGATGGAGATGTGTCAATCCAGAAGGAGTTTCTCCTTCAGGAATCAGTGCAAGCTTTTCCTATTCTAGTGCTGTGTCTGTGAAAATCAAAATTACCTGTACATTTGTTCCTTTCTGTTGTTTAAGCACGCAGTCTACTCAGTTCCTCAGTGAGAGGCAGGATTTTGTCCGTCTTGATTTCCTTTTTAAATACAGCATCTAGAAGAGGGCCTAATGCATAGTAAGTCTTCAAATCAATGTTTACTGAAGAAAGTGACTGAGGAAACAAGGACCCTGAGTAGGAAGACTGGCAGACGGGCTGTGTGGCAGCAGTGAAGCTGGTGTGAGAAGGAAGCACAAGTTTTGAGGGGCAGAAAACAGAAAATGAGGAAAACCCCATAGCAGAAGAGGAAGAAGCTCGTGTGCTGTGGAAGAGGAAAAATAGGGATAGGTGCTTGATAGCCAGAGTGAGAGTGGCTGGCAGGATGGGGACTGGAATAGCTGAGATGAGTCAGAGACCCAGCAGGCATCCCGGCTGTGCTCAGCAGTCCCAGGAGACTGAAAGGGGTAGATGGTCTACAGACTTTCAAATGAGTGAGGGTAACCATCAAGGTAGAGGCCATGGGGTGTGGTTTAAGAGACTAGTTTGGGACATATAAAGACTGAAGCACAGCCAGGAAATGACTGCAAACAAATTATAGTACCAAGGGGTTGGAACCAGGAGGGGAAAGTAAAGCGTGAAAACTGTGGCCACACAAGAGGAAACAGAGCACTTGTAGACTTAGCTGGTATGGACAAGTTAGTGAAGGGAAGGAAGTCACTTAGAAAATTAAGTTGAAGATTAGATTTTTCTTTGGTTCTCTATGGGTACCTCACCAAGAATCATAAAAGGAAAAGAAGATAAAGAAAAAATAATAATTAAAGAGTAAGGCACAAAGAAAATAACCAAGAAAGTGATTTTTAATCAGGCATTTATTCAGATAACCAGTATTTCAACACATGTTTACCAAGTTACTACTATTTACCAGACCTTGGTATAAATATACCTTTCTTTCTCATTTACAATGTAAAAATACCTCTCATTTGTCTCATATTCTATTTGACTTTAGATATCTTGTGTTGTTTTGTTTTTCTGAGATCAGGTCTGAGACTGGGAATCCTGTTTCAGCCTCCAGAGTGCTGGAACCATGGGCATGTTCTACCTTGCCCTTCTTTCTACCTGTTGATTTTCTTAGTCCAGAAGTCTCTCAACTGTGTCTGATGTAATTGATTTTTCTCTCTGAACTTTTTGTATCTGGAAAAGTTTCTTTCTTATCACTTCCACCTTCTTTCTGCTTTTGTTTTTGCTGGTGGAGGTAGTGGCTAGTTTTATAGTTTAAATTCCATTTTTCTTTTTAATAAATACCTAATATACACATGTGCACACACGCACACACTAGAGTGAAGTATGGTATTTCAGTATATGTATATTATATGTAGTCATTAAACCAGGTAACTATCATTCTAGTCTCATTATTTCCTTATGTTTGGACCTTTGAGCTCCATTCCTTGTCTTGTTTTGATTTTTGTTTTTTGTTTTGTTTTGTTTTGTTTTTTCAGTCAGAACATACTGAAATGTGTTAGAATACTCTAAGGTCCCTGTTTTCTTTAGCCATTCCCTGGCTTGCCGAGTGTGGCAGTTGTGTTCTTTGGGTCTGACATGCTCTTCTTTTTTATTGTGTGCTGGCTTTCTGCTTTCTCCTGAGCCACTAACTGTCTGTGTGCCAGTGTTTCCATCTGCCCTACCCGACAGTTCCTGCTTCTCTGTTTCCCATTTAACAGCATGTTCAACATCATACTGTAGCTGCAGAATTTCAACTACAGATTAAATTTGTCTTTTCTAGAAAACCTTTAGGAACCTCAGTGATTAAAAATAAAGGCTCTAAAACTACATGGCAATGCATGTCGAAGCTTGTCAAAGCACAAATCTCAGTTCTTATTTTTGAAGGAATGTTTAAGTATTCCCTGACTCCAGCTCACTCCTCTCTGACATAAAATATAGTAACCACATCAGGTATAGACTAATGTAACCTCTCAGTTACTAATATCATTTATATCACTTTGTAGTTTAGCTTAACAATCTTTGAAAATTTCTCTAATATATCATAACAAATTATCTGTTTTAATGCATGTTCGTATTGTGTGTGTACGTGTGTTGGTATACTTGCCAATATGGAGGCAAGATGTTGAGATTGTATGTTTTTTTTTTTTTTTTGGTTTTTTGAGACAGGGTTTCTCTGTGTAGCTTTGCGCCTTTCCTGGAGCTCACTTGGTAGCCCA